ACACAGTATCCTTTTCCTCACAATACTAGTATGACGGAAGGAACAAGAAGACAGGTTGGAGGCACAGTGACAGCAGTTTCCAGCCACCAGTACTGAGGCTGAATGCAGAACTGCCTGTCCGTGCTCCTTTGAAATCAGGACATGCTGTGAAACTTGCAGCCCAGTGATCCATCTTGCTGTACTATCTGGCTTGCAAATAGAGCAACACCTACTGCTGTTACCAGTTACTCCACTAACCCAAATTGTAGAGATTAGCACTTTACAAACTTCTCTGATATCCCAGAAGTTTTAGCCTTCCCCCTTCCCCCAAGAAAATCTAGCATATTATATTAAAATTCTATAGCAAAAATGCTGAGATAAAATAGTGGAAATATCAGTATGCAATCATATAAAGACAATCTCATACTGTGCATGCTCATAAAGCTAAGTCAGTTTTCCATAGCAACCTGAATTCTGGAGTTTCTGAAGTTCTGAATGTTTGGCATTGTGACAGTGCCCATCCTTTAATAGAAGCACTTTGGAAGACAATATACACTGTACCAGCAAACAGACAATTAGCCATAGAGTCAACCTTCCAGTTATACTGTACAAGGAGAGCAACAAATGTGGGCATTGCAAACTCTATGGTCCTGAATATTCATATAATACCATGTAATATACAGTCTGGACAAATGGAGCATGCCAACAGATGTCTGACTGATACTTCCCAAAGAGATAACCTGTGGAGTAGAAAAACTAAAAAAGAAAAAGAAAAGATTAGTTATCAGGGGATGTTTTCTTCTTAGGAATTTTATTAAAATAGATTGTTGTTAAATGATAAAGCATATCTGACCTGAAAAATAATAATTACCAACTACATTTCTGAATTTCATTTGGATTCCTTCTCCCAGAATTGTTCTCCACACCTCCATTGCACTGTACAATACTTACAGCAGCCACGTCTTCATTTTCCAGTCTGCACTGATTGTACCAGAAGCACGTGCCACTGAGAGACTAATGCCAGTGCCAGGAATAAAGGAAGCAGCAGTTTCTGGGAAATCTACAGCATTAATTCTGAGCCTACAGAACACAGAAAGGAGGATATTAGACTGCATGCCAAAAGAGTAAAAAGAACTTCTGATCACTGAAAATCCTTCTGCTATAAAAGGCAAAGTCTATGCTTAGGTAAAGGAATTCTCAGAAATAACTGACCCTTGCATATTTTAGGAAAGAAAAACACTGGTACCATTACACTTAGTAGCGTCCTTGGAAAAAGAATCCTTGATATCTGTCCATGGTAAAAAAAAAAGCCTGGCTGAAACCAAAATGTCACCTTCAGAGAAAAACAAACTTCTTAAAGTGAAATGTGCTTGCTGGGGGAAAATAAGTGTGTGTTAAGCCCAGATGCTACATTTATAAATAAATCCAGGTTGTCTGAATGCTAGCATTTGCTGAAGAACTTCAAAGTTTCTCTTTCCCCATTCTGTACCCCCTTCCTTGTCTCAGCAAAGGGCTCTGGAGAGGATCCATTTTTCTAAAAATCTTACTTGAAGATTTCTCTGTCAAAACAAATCTTTCTGATACTCAAGGATATTGTCTTGCAAAAGGGTGTGTTGGATTGAGCTGAACATTGTAAAGATACCAGCTGTAATCTTATCATGTAATACACATTCCTCATTGTTTCCTGATATCTGGCAGGAATCTCTGAAACAACTGTCTTTAATCTACTTTTCATGGAACAGAAGGCATCAGCTACTTTTAGTTAAAATGACCATAATTTTCCAATAACATCTTGGGCAGCAGTAATTGCCTTTAGTAATCTTGTCTGCAGTGAGCTAAAATCAGATGATCCAGTGAGAAGATGGCCAATTTCAAGAACTATGGGTGGGAGAATGAACTGGGGTTTTGAAGATTATTTAATAATTTAGGTTGGAATGGGACCTCTGAAGATTTTCTGGTTCAACTCCCTACTCAAAGCTGGGCCAACTCAGGGGCTCCGCTTATTTTAGTCTTGAACACCTCTGAGGATGGAGATTCCCCAACCTCTCTGGATCCTTGTTCTGGTGCTTCCTAGCATTTTTTTCTAACTGCTCATCAGAACTTTTCTTGATGTAACTTCTGTCTGTTGCCCATGATCCTTTCTCTGTGTACCTCTAACAAGAATCTGCCTCCATATTCTCCATAATCGCCACCCAGCAGACAGCGGAAGACATGCAGTGAGACACACACACCTCCACCCCCACAGTCTCTTCCGCAGACTGTCCAAACACAGCTCTCTCAGATGTGCATGGATTAAGGTTGCAAGGATGGCATAATATAATGAAGTGAAATATAATATAATATTAGTGAAATATTAGGTATAGATGAAAGATGCAGGCCCTATCCAGCAGAAAGTACCTGAAAACTCCCAGATTAGTATTTCTTGCTTTGGGTAATTTGTAAGGAAAAGGAAGTAAAATGCTACTGAGCAGCAGAGCTTGGCTTGATAGTAATATTAAAAGACCAGAAGTTTCTGTTTTTCTGTTTATAGCCTATTAGAAAAGCTTTAACTGGAAGATGGGATTGAAGACTGTAGAAAAAAACCCCTTTCATATTAATCTCCTTATTTTGCAGAAACTGTAGAGAACTCTATAAACCTGTTTTTCTACTGGCTGCTTCTGGTACAATGATTTTCCTCATCATACCAAGACCTTTCCAATCAAAATGCTGATTTACCTTTGTAAATCCATCCAAAAAGATTCTGTAGAAGTGATCTTTCTCCCACGTCAGCCCAGATACACCATCTGCCTGCACACGTTTTCATCTGATCCCTTTGTTGGCTTTGTCTCATCAAACACAAATAAATTACTTCAACTGCTACAGGTCCTTCATAGTAGCTGACAGTTAGTAACACTGATTCTTCCCTCTTTCCCACCCATTTCCTGTGTCATAGCCATGCTTACACCTGCCTTGCCCCAAATTCTGAGACAAACTAACTGAAAAAACAGCCAAGGTGCTACTTCAGAAGCTTTCTAAAGCTCATCTCTGAGTATGACAGAGGAAGTACTTCTAAAACAAATCAGTGTTTGGGCACTGGGAGCACAGATAGATGAACCATTAAAATTTTACGCTGAACAAAGAAAAATGGCTCCATAATTATTACTATGCAGTAACAATACAGTAAGATGTTTAATCCTAAAACTTTGAAATGTATTTCCTTTACTTACCTTGAAATTACATAGTTGACCTTAACAATCGAGAAACTCTCCTGCCCACTCCAGCTTGGGAAAGTCTCTTTCAATACTGCTTGCTTCAGTAGCTCCATCCCAATCCTCCTGCCTACAAGGGGACAGAGGAAAGAACATGCCTTGCAGATTGCATTCAGGCACACAAAGGTCCAAATATACTGCCCAATAATTTAATCACTTCTAACATAGTTAATAAAAACTCCAGATTCCTAAACCCTTGCCTAGACCTCCTTCCCACTACTTATACACTTCCCACACTTATACATATATTTATAACTTTTATTTGCCTCACACACAGATCATTTAACCATGATCATCTTGTCTGTGAGTTGTATTTTATATTCTAGAACTCCTGTCACATTTCTGAGACTGTTATACCTCCTTCACCTCACTGGCAATATGGAAAGCCTTCAGAAACACTTAGCCATCACCTCATATTGTCTTATACCTGTTGAATGAAAAATCCAGCTATGAAGTAGCAAGATGACTTCTATATGTGGTGTTTACTTATGGGAAAAGTGTGATACATGCATCTAAAGCGCTGGTATGTCAAATATGGAACTATCTGGATCGTTGCTTGTGTACAGGAAGTTGTTTGAGGTTTAAAGTCAATCCTTTTAAATATTTCCTTCCCATTTCTTTCAGAGTACATACGTTTTGTCACTGCACCTTATCCATTACATTATCTTGCAGATCTCTGACATTTCCTTACCTTCTCTCCTTGCTTTAAGGATCCTTACTTTCTTGAATGCTTCAATGCTACTTGTGCATTGATAATACACAGACCCTATCATCAACAAAGAGAACATCTTTAAGTCCCAATTTCCCTGTGCTTTCCTTCTTTTTGCTCATCTTCGGTGAAGATATTTTTAGCATGAGTTTCTTTGGCTTTTGGTCTCACAGTTTCTGAATACAGAATATATATTTTTTTTCCCCTCCAGAGTCCAGTGTATTAAAAAAGCAAAGAACTGAAATAAATGATAACTCAACACTGGAATACCTTTTTATAAAATGCATCTTTTATGAAGGAGGGGTAAGTTATGATTCCCTGGGGAAATCCTGCCTGCAGAGCAAAATATGGCCTCATGACTGAAATAACTTAAAGCTCTCTTACAACTGTCCGTGAAGGCAGCTAGTGATCCCAGGTGGAATTTCTCTCAAGGTTTTTGAAGCAGGCAAGGAGCACGCACACAGGATCTATTGCCTCAGCCTTCAAATCTCATATTAAGGGAAAAGACATGACAGGCACCATGCTCTTCAAATGCAAGAAATACCTTTGGGAGGCACACTGTTAGTGTCTGTTTTTACTACTAACGCAGAGGTGTGCAGACTTAGTCTGTTTGTTCAGTACTTGAAGGCCACGCTGTCTGTCACAGAAACTGCTGGGCTCACACTAAGAAATACCAGGCTGATTTCTCATTTCTAAAGGCATTAGAGATCCATAGGGAGTGATTTCTTCTGTGTGTCATAAAAAGATATGGAGATCAGTTCTGTTTTGGGTGACTGATGTTTGCCCTGCACTTCTCAACTCCTCAAAAGCCTTTAAAACAATGCTCATACAGAGAAACAAGTGGACCTGATCCTTGCTTTCATCTCAAAGGCATAAACCCTGAGCTTCTACTTTTCATCTCACAAGTCCATTGTTTACCTGTCAGCATGTTCAGTACATAAATGACGATTAATCCTTAGCACGACCCAGCCTTTGTTGAATTTGTGCCTTGTTAACCTTTATTATTAATATTAATTCTATAAACAATTGAAATTTTACTGTGTGGCCTCCACACCCATGGAGTAAATCTTAGGTAAGAGACAGTGAAAGTTAGCATGAATAGAAAGAATAAGGAAAATATTTTGTGGAAATTGCTGGTATTCATTTAAGGGGCAGAATTATGGCAGACAGTTTCTAGATTTATTTGAAAGAATGACACATGCAAATGCTATCCCATGCCAAATGGAGGTATGAGAGGAAAAGTGTGCAGCTACATGGCTGTTCTAAAATGGTATGCTTTTAAAAACAAATATATTTCATTATCTTCAATTAAACATTGCACTTTCAATCAGGTTTTTGACATATTTAGAAAAGGAGCAATTATATGACCATCTATTTCTTGCTCTGAGAATGTAGATTGATATGAGGAATGTAGTAGAAACACTGTTGGACTGTAGGAGAATGCAGTCGCCAGCACAAGGATGAATTCACACCTTGGGTGCACAAAAAGGAAGTAAGTGAGAGAAGAGACAATGGGTGTACCTGTTGTGAGGTGACAAAAGGAATTTGTTCTATTTCATTATTTAAAGAGCTTGTTTCTATCTTTCACCTTTATTAAGGAACTATATTCTGTGCATAGAGTATTTATCATAAACTAACTTCTGGCAATGTTAGACATACCATAGTCCAGCCCCTTCTGAGTAATCATCACTTTAAGACCAGGATTAGCCTCAAGCTGCAAGGCCAACCAACACAGCAGGAAAGAATACCATGTCTTTAGCATCTTCTCACCTTTGTCACTGGGACCTGCAACAACATTTATGATGCAAATGTAGTCATAAGTGATGCATATCATGAGTTGCAAAAAATCTGTATCCATCATTTCCCTCAGTGAAACTGGGACAAGGGTGGGTCGTCAAAGACGTTTAGCCAATGATTTTACTGGATGAAGCAGTCCGTATGGGAGCAGACATGGATGTCTGATTATTTGGATTGCACTTTGACAGGCATTAGCTGCTGGTGAGACTGAATGGTTCTGCTCCATTATTCTATGATTTCCCCACATCCATATCTTGACTGGTTTATTTCACCATTTGCCTTACCTCCTGCACAGTGAACATGACAGAGCAATCCCAGCCAAGGAGAAGCAGGTCTGACCTCCTATAGAACAAAATCCTTTTTATATACAGACCCCTTAGCATATACTGGATTTGCAAGTCCAAAAGTTTTTCAACTCAATCATAGTAGGCCAATAAAACACAGTAGGCCTCCCCACAAAACTCTCCTCCCTGTTACACACAAACCTCTGACTTAATACAAACACTGATACATGAGAATGACTAAATCGGGTCACATGAGAAGGGAATGCAAGGGCAAATTCAAAGCGAATGTGAGAATTACATGGTGATTACACAGAAACAGAAAAGGTTGTCCTGGCATGAGCCTGCAGCAGTGTCTTTGAGTGCAAAGCGAGACTGAGTCCACACAGGCTGTCACAAAGGCTGTGACAAATTATCTCTTTCTGTTACATTTTCCCAGTACAAAAGTAAGGTTTCTTTGTTCAAATTTCTTGCATTCATCCTGATTTTCACCACCAATAACAGCCACTGCTCAGTTTCCTAGAAATAACAATAGTGTTTCTCAATACAACTTCAAGTCTTCCCAGTGCTGCATCAGGAAATTGTTTATTAGGGACCTGTGGTAACTTTACTCTGGCCTTACCATTGAGGAGAGTGACACATCCTTTTCTAACATGTCACACTGTGATCATGGTATCTGCCTATGTACAAAACCATGTTAATTAATAAGAAGCAAAAAGGTCTTGCTAGTTTCCCAGGTATTCCAGTCTATAAGGACATTCCTGGATTTCTAACAAGTACCATATTGCCTTGTACAACTTACTCCATAATCTGCCAGAAAACATATAAATGCATTTAAAAAACCTGAGAAACGCTACCCTCCACCAAAAAAACCACAATCAAACCCACCATCTTCTGATAGTCTTACTTCTGCATTGGAATTAATATTATCAGGTCAGACTCTAAAGGGTTGCAAATCCAAGATCTACCCAATACCTCACAAAATACTGCTCTTCAGTGTATTTCTGAACTATAAGACAGGCAAAATGCATTATCAGTGTTGCCCTGATATCAGTTCTCTGAGGAATCCTCACGAAGTTACTCCAAGATACCATGTGGTTTCAGGGAAAAAAAATTCTGAAAACATAATCTACATTTTGACAAATCTTGAAAATTCTATGTTCAATTGGTCACTCCATCTCTAGTTATTATCCTTTTTTGTTTGTTTGTTTTCTCTATTTTAAGCAGTTCAAAATAAATAACTACTTTAAGGTAGCAATGTTATATTACTCAGTATAGCCAGCTGGAGTCACAAATCTTAAACTTTTTCCAAAAAGTGTCCTAGCTTTTCCTGCAAACATGCCACTTTCTATCCTGACCATTAAGGGCCAATTAATAATCAATATAAAACCAGAAAGACAGTTTTTTCAATCATTAAAGTACACCAATATTTACTAGATATCTATCTAGCAGGATTGCTAGAAGCATTGATGGAGGTGAGGTACCTCATTCTGGTTGAATTTCACTCAATTCAAGGAGAGGAACAGAAAACAGCAATTATAGTCACTACCATGCTTTGTAGTTAATATATTCTTGTTTGCATCTTAAATGTATGCCAAGTGAGAAGCTGAAAGAACAAACAACAACTGAACTGCCATGGCCATAAAAGATGGTATCATTTCATACTGCTTTCTCAAACCAACAAGGCTGATACTCTCAGTTTCTTTTTTACTCCAAGGCTGATATTCTTGGTTTCATCAAAGCTTCAAGCCTCTGTCAGATGCTAGGATTGCTTGTACAAGGTTAGTCAGATGACTGGGACAGACAGACTAAGGAGATGGAAATTGTCAGCTGCCTGATAGTCTAAATCAGAGCTGCCAGTTGCATTGTCGATGACAATACATGGCAGACAAATTGCTCTGACTTTTATCTTCATTAACTGAGCACTCACAAGCAATTCCTCAACGTAAATCATTCTCTTAATTCTTTTGTCTTCTCAGAGATAGTGCATTCAAGTAAGTTAAGTAGAGGAAAAGGATGAAAAGCTCCTTTCAGTCTGTGTATCTGTCTCACCCTAATGAAATACTCTACTTACCAGCCTGTAGATACCAATTTTGTTTCTTCTTTGTGAACAGTTTGGAAAAACTTTAAATAAAACTTGCAATAAACATTACTGTTGAAATCTGCCTAAGAACTAAGAAAGCTCCTGATGCAAAAATAGGTCACTATCATTGTCTTGTACAGGGTTAACACAGCCATAAAGACACACTATCTTAAAGTGACTCACCTCCAAAATAGAATAGACTATGTCTGAAAAAGAATTTTGTCCTTGCCTTGCCTTGATCCTGCACAAAACTCTCCACTTGCAGCCCACAGAAGAATTCCTTTCACTTACAAAAATTCAGAAAAGAAACCTCAATAGTTAACAAAACCAAGACAAACAGTTCTCAAACAGGATAGCAAATATAGCATCTACCCAACCTGAAGTCCAGAAAGAGCACTTCAGTTTCACAAATATCTCTGCTGTTATCACAGAATGGGGACTGGATTTTTCAGTTTCTCCCTTGCTCCGTTGTTTCTAGTTACTCTGCAGCATGGTTAAGAACAGGTAGGCTTTCTGCAGCGCACTCAACAGTGTCAAATCAAAAAGGACGCAATAGCTTCAAAATTTTAACCCTTCCTGTACACTGATATTCAGTATGGAAAATCATCTCTGAGGAAAAGGAATACAAAATTTATATGGTTGATAGGACAGACGTATTGTCAGGAATGGTTAAAGAAACCAGCAAATGATACAGACAGGATTTTGCTAAATGACATAAAAGCAGGTGATCTCCACCTCTCCACAACCACTGGAAATAGCCATGAAAAAAAGAAAAACTCCAGTAAGTTCTTGCTCATGGTTTCCTTCATTCAGTGTGGAAAGCAATGCTATCCACTTCCCAAATCATGAGGCAGCAAGCAATGAGCTCAGTGCAAACAGAATCCATAGGGGGCAACGGCCACGATTGCCCCCACAGGTTGTATTTTTGAGTAGGTGCAGGACCCCCCATTCTTTTGGAGGTTTTGTGTTACTATCCTTTTTCCTGAGCGTGGCTTGCCTACTGATGCCCTTCATAAAGGCTTTCAAAGCTTTGGAGCAGAGTTGCCAGAGAACTATTAATCTGTGCCAGGCTGCAAAATGAGTAACATAGCTGCAATGCCTGCAAAGAATCCATCAACAGCGGATAACTATGTTGGGAGGCAGTCATCTGATCAGCTGGTGGAAAATGAACACTTTCCACTGTTTGGATACACTGAGTTCACGTTGCTGACCTCTGCCAGCAACTCACTGTCTGAGTATCTGAGCCAGGACTACGAGGTTCATTTTTACCAAAGTCCCTTTAGCAAAACAAATAATCGTTCTTGTTCTAGCTCTGCACTGCACACTGCCCTCACAGCTAAGAAATGTAAACCAGTCCCCAGGAGACA